GGCGCCCGCGGGCCGTGAGGGCGCGCGCACTGGGGCGGGGCTAGGCTGGCCGCCTGCGGTGCTGTCCCAAGTTACGCTTGTGGCGAGGTGCACTGAAATCGGGACCTCCCCAGTCGAGAACGCCCGGCGGCCGGCGGGTGTGAGGGGTGGGCGAAGATTCTAGAAGCCGGGAGGACCCCTCCCCACCCCTGGGATCCCCGCTGATGCTCCCCGCCGCTCCGGGGTCTTGGCTGGCTACTCGACAAGGCCCCAGGCTGCGCCCCTCGCCCCTGCCCGAGGCGGCGCCCACCTGCTGCGCGCTGGCCGCCTCGCCTGCGCCGGGCACCTGCGCTCGCTGGGGGCGGCCGGGGGCGCGGGGCTCCACGTCGGGAGCTGTGGGACTTCCGGTCGCCTGCGTTGTTAGCTGTGGGCTGTCCACGGTCTGTGCCGCTCCCCGCTGAGACAGGACGCAGCGCACCCAGGCCTCCGCTCACCTCTCCCTTTCCGCTCCCTGCTGGCTGTTGGGCCGGGGGCGCAAGGAGGGAGCTCGGTGTGTCCTGCGGTCACGGTCACGCGCGGCTCCAACAGAGCCTGGCTGAGAGGGCGCCCTGTCGGCCCTCCCCGGTCTCCCTCCCAGCCTGCTGTCCGCCCCGCTCTCAGATCCTTTCCTTGGGCTTTGCTCTGGGGCATCCGGGACTGGGACTGCCCGGCACCAGGTCAGCGGGGGCCGGCGGCCCTGGGGGCGCCGGGAGTCCCTGGCACGGCCTCCCAGCTGTGCTGAGTGGCGGTGGGCGGTGGGGCCTCCCAGCTGTGCTGAGTGGCGGTGGGCGGTGGGTGGAGAAGGAGGCGCTGACTTTGGCCGCAGCTCTGGCTCCTGCAGACACGCAGACAACGGTGATATTCAAGACTGGAGTCTCTGTTCTGTAAACCGGTACCAGAGGAAAACATGCAGGGGCTCAAGTCGGCCGAGTCCACCCTAGGCCACCTTCCTACGCCCAGGACGTCACCCTGGTGGCCTGGAGTCAGCGCTGCCGCCGTGGGAATCGGCAGATCCGTCAAAGCGAAGCCGGAACTCAGAGCCAAGGCGTCCCCTGGAGCCCCACCGCGTCCAGCGGACCTGAATCTGAATCTTAACACTTGAAGCCCCCAGACCAGGGCTGGGCAGCGTCCGGCCTGCGGGCCAGAGGAGACCACGGGACCTGGCCAGACCAAAGCCGCTGCAGGCAAGACAGAAGTGCGGTACAGCTGCTCTTTTTTATTTATTTATTTTTATTTTTTCATTATTTATTTATTTATTTATTTATTTTGACAGGCAGAGTGGACAGTGAGAGAGACAGAGAGAAAGGTCTTCCTTTGCCGTTGGTTCACCCTCCAATGGCCGCCGCGGCTGGCGCACCGCGCTGATCCGATGGCAGGAGCCAGGAGCCAGGTGCTTTTCCTGGTCTCCCATGGGGTGCAGGGCCCACGCACTTGGGCCATCCTCCACTGCACTCCCGGGCCACAGCAGAGAGCTGGCCTGGAAGAGGGGCAACCGGGACAGAATCCGGCGCCCCGACCGGGACTAGAACCCGGTGTGCCGGCGCCGCAAGGCAGAGGATTAGCCTAGTGAGCTGCGGCGCCGGCCACAGCTGCTCTTTAAGCCCATCGTTTTGTACGGTCCACGAGTGATGTTATAAATACCCAAGTGGCCCTTGGCCAAAAACAACTGGTCCCCACCCCATTCTAGACGTTTCCAACCTTCCGCCTTCTCAGCTGTGGGATAGTAGGCTACCTCACAGAGGTCGTGGATTGGTTGGAAATTAGCCGTGTTCTTGAGGTTGGGGAGGGACCCATAAGAAGGCAGCGGGGGCTTGGGGACCATCAGGGAAGATGGGTGGACAGACCTGGGGAGAGGGGAGACCCATGGAGTGGGTGGGGTTAAACCAAGGGGAGACGGCGCTGTGGGCCTGAGGGGAACAGCAGTCCAGAGAGGCGGTCAGATGTGGCGGTGATGGCTGATTTGAGGACGGTCTGAATCCACTTAACTCCTTAAACCTGGGGAGGGAGGGCTCTTCCTGCCGAGGGCCCTCTGCATGTAACATCATCCGTGGGGCCATGCAACACCCTCAACTTAAAGAACAGCTGGGTGTAGCCTGGACAGTTACCTTGGCAGGGCCAGTCCAGGGATGTCCCAGCCTTGTATGGCCCATGCTTTGCTTCTCCCCAGCCCCGCCTCGGGCGGAACACGCGCTGTGTCTGGGCCTCAGGAGACAGACACGAAGCCTCGTCCTGCAGCCCAGCCCAGCCCCAGATTCGGAGGAGCTGGAAGCCCCAGGATACACTGCCATCCCGCAGGTGGGGGCGGGGGAGTCGGAAGACTCAGAACGAGGTTCCCGGGGAGGAAGGGGGAGCCGCTGGTCCTCATCGCGGGTGACCACATGTCTGGGCACCCCATGGCCCCCTAACCTTGACCATCCCATATGCGTCACTGGATTGTGACGGGACTGGTGCAATGCGCTTCCGGCCTGCCGCTGGCTGTCCTTGGAATAGGACACCACCGTTCCTCTTCTGTCACCAAACTGAGAATCCAGCTCGAGTCCCGGAGCTCGCCTGGGGTCAGCCCCGCGCTCTTGGGAGGTCCGGGTTGGGGCAGGTAGGACGCAGAGCTGACCAGGGCCTCTGCCACCCGTGTTCCCCTGGGCTGTGCAGGAGACAGCAGCACGCTGGGAAACGTGGCATAGTTGCCACGGCACTGGAACTGCTCAGTCCACTGTTCCCACGAGGACATGTCGAGGCCAGGCATGGCCCTGAGAGCCACGGTCCCTGGGTGCTGGTGGCCACAGCAAGTTTCCCATTCAAAACCGGGAGTGAAGCTGGCTGTAGTGTGTGCAGTCCGTGTCACACGTAGCACAAACAGACGGGAGCTGCCAGTTGTCTGGAATACACAGCCCAAATTTGCTGTCCCCGTGCCTCTGAGCCAACTTACTTTTTTAAATGCCACCATTTTTCTTTAAAAATAAATAAAAGGTTTTTTTTTATTTTGAAAGAGAGAGAGAGAGAGAGGATCCATCCAACAGTTCATTCCCCAAATGCTTCTAAGTGCCCACGGGTATGGGTCAGGCCCCAGCCTGGAGCCAGGCAATCCGGACCCCGCGGGGGCAGGGACCCAGCCTGGAGCCAGGCAATCCTGATCCCCCCCCGCGGTGGCAGGGACCCAGCCTGGAGCCAGGAAATCCGGACCCCCCGCGATGGCAGGGACCCAGCCTGGAGCCAGGCAATCCGGACCCCCCGCGGTGGCAGGGACCCAGCCTGGAGCCAGGCAATCCGGACCCCCCCACGGTGGCAGGGACCCAGCCTGGAGCCAGGCAATCCTGATCCCCCCGCGGTGGCAGGGACCCAGCCTGGAGCCAGGCAATCCGGACCCCCCCACGGTGGCAGGGACCCAGCCTGGAGCCAGGCAATCCTGATCCCCCCGCGGTGGCAGGGACCCAGCCTGGAGCCAGGCAATCCGGACCCCCCGCGGTGGCAGGGACCCAGCCTGGAGCCATCACCACCGCCTTCCAGGGTGCAGAGTGGTGGAAGCTGGACCCGCATGTGGGGCCAGGACCCTGGCAGGCAGTGTGGGTGGCGGGGTCTTGGCTGCTGTAACCCCGTGTTTCCTGTGAGACAAGCCATACTCGGAGAGCCCGGGCGGTGTGTCCACGGTGCCATGGCGAAGCCGAGAGGAACCACCCACGCGTGTTGGCGCCCACCTCACCTCGTGCCGTGGTGAGCGTTTGCTCCCTCCCGAGATTCATGGAGTCCGTTGTCTTGCTCGGCTTTTGTTACCGTGACTGAAGGCCACGGGGCAATTTGTGAAGAATGGAGGGTTATTCGGCTCCCGCGCGGAGAACCACGGTCGTGGTGCCCGCCTCAAGTGAGGCCTGCTGGCCGGGGTGGGAGTGGAGGTGGGGCCCTCCCTTGACCTCATCTGCCCTGAGGGCTTCCCGAAGGGCCCACCCCCTGACAGGATGAGCCTGCGGTTAGGTTTCCCTAGCTGTGGGTTAAGGACATGGATCCCACGAGGGAGACATGGATGCCAGACGCAGAATGAAGGCCACAGCCACCAGGGGGCAGTGTGCAGCAGGACAACCCCGAGGGATGCGGTTCCTTGCCTTGCACCCTCTGCTGGATGACGATGACAACATACCCCCCCCCCCCACAGTGTACCACCTCGGCGGGTCCTCGGAGCCTGTGACGACTGAGTAGAAGCGTGTGTGTGTATGCACAGGTATATGACATGTACACACACTGAGTAGAAGCGTGTGTGTGTATGCACAGGTATATGACATGTACACACACACTGAGTAGAAGCGTGTGTGTGTGCATATGCACAGGTATATGACATGTACACACACTGAGTAGATTGTGTGTGTGTGTATGCACAGGTATATGACATGTACACACACTGAGTAGAAGCGTGTGTGTGTGCATATGCACAGGTATATGACATGTACACACACTGAGTAGAAGTGTGTGTGTGTGTGTATGCACAGGTATATGACATGTACACACACACTGAGTAGAAGCGTGTGTGTGTGTGTATGCACAGGTATATGCACATGTACACACACACTGAGTAGAAGCGTGTGTGTGTATGCACAGGTATATGACATGTACACACACTGAGTAGAAGCGTGTGTGTGTGTATGCACAGGTATATGACATGTACACACACTGAGTAGAAGCGTGTGTGTGTATGCACAGGTATATGACATGTACACACACACTGAGTAGAAGCGTGTGTGTGTATGCACAGGTATATGACATGTACACACACACTGAGTAGAAGCGTGTGTGTGTGTATGCACAGGTATATGACATGTACACACACTGAGTAGAAGCGTGTGTGTGTGTGTATGCACAGGTATATGACATGTACACACACACTGAGTAGAAGCGTGTGTGTGTGTATGCACAGGTATATGACATGTACACACACTGAGTAGAAGCATGTGTGTGTGTGTATGCACAGGTATATGACATGTACACACACACTGAGTAGAAGCGTGTGTGTGTGCATATGCACAGGTATATGACATGTACACACACTGAGTAGAAGCATGTGTGTGTGTGTATGCACAGGTATATGACATGTACACACACTGAGTAGAAGCGTGTGTGTGTGTGTATGCACAGGTATATGACATGTACACACACTGAGTAGAAGCGTGTGTGCGTATGCACAGGTATATGCATGTACACACTGAGTAGAAGTGTGTGTGTGTATGCACAGGTATATGACATGTACACACACTGAGTAGAAGCGTGTGTGTGTGTGCATATGCACAGGTATATTCACATGTACACACACTGAGTAGAAGCGTGTGTGTGTGTATGCACAGGTATATTCACATGTACACACTGAGTAGAAGCGTGTGTGTGTGCATATGCACAGGTATATGACATGTACACACACTGAGTAGAAGCGTGTGTGTGTGTGTATGCACAGGTATATGCACATGTACACACTGAGTAGAAGCATGTGTGTATGCGTATGCACAGGTATATTCACATGTGTACACACACGTGTGCGCTCTGCTCTCCCTCTGTTCATGTAGGAGGTGACCGTCTGCCCCCTCCGGGACGGGCAGAAGTTGACCACTGAAGTCCCTCGTAGCCTGGAATGGCACGGGGGACTCTGGAGAACCAACACCAAGCAGCCCCACCCCCGGCCGGGTACCTGCCCTCGTATTGACCTTCCTTTGCTGCCCTAGAAAGTTGGAAACCTTCCCCGCAGCTTGTGGCCTCTCACGGGTGTTGCTCTCCGTTAAGACGTGACATGAGCTGAGCCACTCACGGAGTACTGGTCCATGTACACACAGTAACAAAGTAACAAACTTCTGTGCCTTTCACTCTTGTTTATCTGTCTTGCCAGTCCAGCTTACAGAGCCTTAGCTAGGGGCTCCAAGATGGCTAGAGGGAAAACCTCTCTATAATAGAGAAATGGACAGCAGACATGACCAGTTAATTGTCCGGCGTCGCCAGCATCCAGTACCAGACTGCTGGTTTGTGTCCCAGACGCTCTGCTTCTGACTGGCTTCCTGCCGATGCACCCGGGAAGCAGCCGATGATGGCCCAAGTGCACCGGTCACCATGCGGGAGACCCGGATGGGGTTACTGGGTCCCTGGCCATTGCAGTCATTGGGGAATGAATCAACAGATGGAAGCGTGCTCTCTCTCTCCCTTTCTCTTTCTCTGTCTGTGTTTATGTCTCACTCTGCTTTTTCAATAAATAAAAATTGAAAATTACTCTAAGTTGCTCGGAACTCCCTATTTGACTTACTGCTTAAATATCTTTGACATGCAGGTTCAGAATCAGGCCCACAGCACCACAGCAGACGCCTGGCTGCCCGTGCCAGCAGGGGCTGCCCTGGCTGCCTGGTCCCCCTCCCAGCTCCTCCCAGCAGCGTGGGGAGGAAGCAGAGCTACTGAGACCTGGGCGGGGCGCTCCAGGGGGGGACGCAGGCGCCTCTCTCAAATACCACTGAGGGTGGACGGCACCTGGGCGGTCAGATGGGCAGGCGAGGGAAAGCTGGCCAGGCAGGTCCTGGGCCACCCGCATGGTGGGGTGGGCTCCAACCCGGCCTTGCCTCGTGTGCAGGGAGTCCCAGCGCCCAGGAGGGCCCCGCTCGTTCAAGTGCCCCCGGGTGGGCGGCTCTGCCTCCTGCAGGGGCCCAGGGCTCTGTGCTCCCCGTGCACCTGCACGGCCGTGTCCCAGGCAGCTCTCCTAAGGACACAGGACCCTGAAAGAATACGCGGAGGCCGGTTGTGAAAGCACATGGTGGGGAACCTTCCGGAAAGGAACGGGGAACTGGAGCAGGCGCGTTCTGAGTCTGGTTTTAAGCAAGTTCTGCATCCTGGCCACAGGGGCCACGCACATCATGAGACTGAAAGAAGAGGCCGGAAGCCGCACACCATGAGACCGAAAGAAGAGGCCGGAAGCCCGGGCCTCCCGGAGCTGAAGAGAGGGAGGGGCCTGGGGGCACAGGGAGGGGCGTGGCTGCAGGCTACAGAGGGCTGGGCAGGAGGAGGCGGTGAGTGACGGGCCTTTCTGTGCAGCTCAGGCTCCCCAGTCACCGCCACCGTGGGAGTCTCTCCGGGCCGGGGTCAGAGCCCAGTCTTTCTTTGCAAAGGTCTTTCCCGGACAGAAAAGGGGGTGTCAGACAGACATTCTAAGAGCTGACACGAAGCAGGTGCAAAGTGATACCGTCTTATTCACACACGCAGAGGAACATCCCTCATCGCGGGGCGGGGGCCGGAAGATTGCCCGGAAGGACGAGGGGCGGAGGGAGGGAGGCAGAGCGGCTCCTCCAGGGATGGCCTGTGGCAGAAGACTGAGAGAGCAAGAGCGAGCGAGCGAGCGAGAGAGAGACCCTCCCAGTGGCTGGCTGTGATGAGGTGGGGGTGGTGCCCATCTGGGAGCTATACGGCTCCCCTACAAGTTCCATATCCATAGTTCACGGCGTCTCCTTTAGGTCCCGGATGAAGCAGGTGCATCCTGGGAAAGGGGGCATTTTGATTGACAAGTAGGAGGATAGAATTCCACAGGGGCGTGTGACTTCCAGTTCAGTAGACCTGGCTAGCTGCCTGCCTATCCCATACCCATGGCTGCTGGCCACTGCTGGCCACTACAGAGCCAGCCTTGCACCTGCAGAAGGGCTGCTGTATCTCCACCCCAAACCAGGCCAAGGACACCTATATTGGTGGGGTATTTTACCCTCCAGGCAGCGGGTCTGTTGCTGTGGTCATTACCCATGGGAAGGGGCAGGGCACATAGCTCAGGTCTGCCTGCTGGACGGGGTGCGGGAAGCCTGCAGACCAGCCAGAGGAGAGCAGATGTGCGGCCAGGCAGGTCTCGGACGGAGCCACCAGGGACCAGAGCGGTGTGGGAGCCGGGCTCAGCTGAGGAATCCCGCGGTGTCTGGAGGACTCCGACACACGCCTTCGGCTCTGGGCCCAGATGTCCTTTCTTTTCACAGCTCTGGGTTCTCTGGGTTCCTCCTGCACAGGCGTGGCTGTGTCTGGTTAACCCGTGTCATGGCACAAGGAGACAGGAAAAGCTTGGGGAAGCCAGTAGAGACTTTTATGTTCCTGCGTCCAGGGTCCTCAGGGCGGCAGCAGGCGCGCGGTCGGCCGGCGCCTCCGATCCCAGACGCGCGGTCGGCCGGTGCCTCCGATCCCAGACGCGCGGTCGGCCGGCGCCTCTGATTCGGCCGCCCTACTCCTCAGCCACGGGAACTCCAAGGCACGTGTCTGCCGTCCATAATGCACTAGAAAATAGGTTCTTTACAACGACTGGAACTTGGAGTAGAATCGTCTAGATGCTAGCCTGCAAGTGTGTGCAGCTGTCTCCATAAGTAACACGCTCTGGGGCAGAACCCCCGCAGTGCAGTGCCTACCGCGTGATCAGAGGCCAGCCAGGGTGGGGTCGGGTTCTGGACTTCTGTCGGTGGCAGGTGGCAGGTGGCAGGGTGGGGCAGCGGCTCTGAAGCTGGGGCCGCCGGCCAGCGGGGCTGCCTCCTTCCATGCCTGCCCCCTGGGGACGGCTGAGCTGTCTCTCGGGAGACGCAGCTGGCCTCTCCATTGGGGTCCCGTCGACACCCTGGACTGAGAAGCCCCTGCCCTGTCCCCTCCTGGCCCCAGGCTTTGAGAACAGGCCCCGGCCACCAACGTCTGACCACTCAAGGAAGCGCCTGCTCTCAGGGAGAGCTGTTTTCAGCTTAGCCATGTGGACACAGGGGGACCAAGCGCCCGCGGAGCTGCAGGGGCAGGAGCAGGACCAGAGCAAACGCCTGCGCCCTTGCCAAGGGAGAGGTCTGTGCAGGAAGGAGACAGGATCGGGAGTGTCGGCCTGGGTGGGCCCAAGCCCCTCCAAGGAGACCCGGCCTTCCACACTGCAGCCACCGCCCACCCTCAGCTGAGGCTGCCCCAGGCCCGGCCCGGGAGGCCTGTTGCTGGCTGCCATGGAAAGAGAGCTGTTTTGGGTCACCGACTGGTTTTCATCTGCATCAGGAAGCCGGCCTTCCTCAGTGGGAATAAACTCAGGGCTCTGGGGGGGCCCTCCCTGCTCCCCCAGACCCTGATGGTCAGCTCTGTGGGGGTGCCCCTGCTCCCTCTGGACCCTGATGGTCAGCTCTGTGGGGGTGCCCCTGCTCCCTCTGGACCCTGATGGTCAGCTCTGTGGGGGTGCCCCTGCTCCCTCTGGACCCTCATGGTCAGTTCTGTGGGGGGTGCCCCTGCTCCCTCTGGACCCTCATGGTCAGCTCTGTGGGGGTGCCCCTGCTCCCTCTGGACCCTCATGGTCAGCTCTGTGGGGGTGCCCCTGCTCCCTCTGGACACTGATGGTCAGCTCTGTGGGGGTGCCCCTGCTCCCCCAGACCCTGATGGCCAGCTCTGTGGGGGTTGCCCCTCCCTGCTCCCCCAGACCCTGATGGCCAGCTCTGTGGGGGTGCCCCTGCTCCCCCAGACCCTGATGGCCAGCTCTGTGGGGGGTGCTCCTGCTCCTGCCGTGTGTCCTTGTTGGCCCACCTTGCAGCCACACAGGTCACTTCCGTATCTGTGTTGGTCAGGACAGGGTCAGCCCAGCCGGTCGTGGGCTGCATGTGGAGCCCGCTCTCCCCGAGGTGGGACAAGCGCTGTGTATCCTTGTTTCAACACTGCGGCGGAGGGGCCGTCCTCTTTCTCCCCTCGGTTCAGAGGTGCGAGGCCCAGAGCTTGGGCTCAGCTCAGCCTGGGGCCCCGCCCAGTCCAGCCTGTGCTCCTGGCAAGGCTCTGCACCAGGGGCAGGTTCCCTGTCACTCTTCCTAAAGGACAGCCAGGCTGCCTGCTGCTTTCTGAGGGAAGGCTCCTGCCCCCACAGCCCTTGTGTGAAATGTGCCGGCACCTGCTCCATCCAGGGAGGGCTGGCACCTGCTCCGTCCAGGGAGGGCTGGCAGGAACCAAAACCAGACCCAGGGATTGCTACAGAAATCTCAGCGGATTGGCTTTTAAAGATGTATGTATTTATTTGCATGTATATATAAAGATGTATGTATTTATTTGAAAGGCAGAGAGACAGAGAGAGAGAGGGAGAGAGAGAAGGAGAGAGAGGGAGAGGTCTTCCATCCTCTGGTCCACTCCTCAAATGGCCGCGATGGCTGGGGCTGGGCCAGGCTGAAGCGAGGAGCCTGGAACTCCATCTGGGTCTCCCACGTGGGTGCAGGGCCCAAGCATCTGAGCCGTTGTCTGCTGCCCTCCCAGGCGCACTAGCAGGGAGCTGGATCGGAAATGGAGCAGCCAGCCGGGACACCAACAGGCGCTCCCATGGGATGCCAGCGTCACCAGCTGAGGCTTCACCCGCTGCGCCAGTGCTGGCCAGAGGCTGATTTTCATCAAGCACGTGTGAGAATTTTTTTGGCATCTGTGAGACTGTGCGCAGGAGGGGAGCTTCGGGCTGAGGGGCCAGAGACTTCGACAGTGAGTGAGGCGGTGTCCCAGCGCAGGGTGCACTCGGCCCCGAGGCGTGGTGACTGTTGACAGAAGGGTGGGCCAGTAGGCCAGGTGTCTCCTGCTGAGGAAGGAGGGGTTAGAGGGCACAGGAAAGGTGGGGCTGGGCAGTTCCAGCTGCCGGGGGTGGAGCAGGCCGAGGCCCCGTGGCAAAGGCTGGGGTGTCAGCAGGAGCTCCTCGGCCGACTGCAGCGCCCGCAGCCTGGCTCTCCCGGAGCTGTCCAGGCCGCCAGTGTGGCCGAGCACGCTCTTACCCAGCACGGCGCCCTCCCCCGCCCGCATCTGTCTGGTGTTTGCCCACAGGCAGTAGCTGGGATCCCTGGGGAGCGCCTGCCACCCCCACACGGGCTCCAGCAGCGAGGACAAGTCCCGAGTCGCCGGCTTCATGTGGTCCCTGAAGCCCACACCCGAGTCGCCCCAGGGGAAGGTGGATTACCTTAATGACCAGCTGTGGACTGAAGACAGCGTCTAGGCTAAGCAGGATCCCTTTGCGAGCTGTGGCCAAATGAGCACTTGCAGGAGATGAAAGCGAAAAGCAAAGAGGTATTAAAACAAGAAAGCAAAGCAGAAAGTCTCCCACGATCTGGTGTAACAGGTCGCCGTGACGTCATGACACACTTCTGTAAGATAAGCGGGAACCGAGCCCGCAAAGAACAGTCATTTCCCATCCACCTGCTGAGAAGGACCGGAAGGCAGAGACGCAGAGACGAAGTGGGCGCTCTGCGGCCAGGACTGTGGCCTTTTTGTTTTGTTTCTTAAGATTTATTAGTTTATTTGAAAGTAAGAGATTTACAGACAGGTAGGGAGAGAGAGAGAGAGAGAGAGATCTTCCATCTGCTGTCACTCCCCAAATGGCCAGGCCAAAGCCAGGAGCCAGGAGCTTCTTTCAGGTCTCCCACGTGGGTGCAGGGGCCCAGGCACTTGGGTCATCTTCTACTGCCTTCCCAGGCCATTAGCAGGGAGCTGATCAGAAGTGGAGCAGCCGGGACTCAAACCAGCGCATCAGCTCAGACCCCAGGACTGTGGTTGTTAAATGCAGATTTCCACCAGAACTGAGGTTCTTTTTACAGACTAAGGCTCCACTGATGGGGAATTTGAAGCTGGAAGTATTGCTTTGCAATAAAAGGATGTGTTTAAAGACAAAAGATAAATTGTATGAAGAAAAAACCTGACAAGTTATGGCCTCAAACAACCCAGAACTAAAATAGCCAGAGAGGCAGCAGCAGGGCCAGGGTTAGGGTTAGGGTTAGGGTTAGGGTTAGGGTTAGGGTTAGGGCCAGGGTTAGGGCCAGGGTTAGGGTTAGGGTTAAGGTTAGGGTTAGGGTTAGGGTTAGGTCTGGCAGGAGGACGGCACCTGCCGGTCATAGGAGGCTTCTGTTACTTGATATAGAAAAGGAAGAGGGGCAGGGGCTGTGACGCAGTAGCCTAAGCCTCTGCCTGCAGGGCCGGCATCATCTATGGGCACTGGTTTCAGTCCCGGCTGCTCCTCTTCCCATCCAGCTCTCTGCTGTGGCCTGAGAAAGCAGTGGAAGATGGCCCAAGTGCTTGGGCCCCTGCACCCACATGGGAGACCCGGAGGAAGCTCCTGGCTCCTGGCTTCAGATGGGCGCAGCTGCAGCCATTGCGGCCATTTGGGGAGTGAACCAGCGGATGGAAGACCTCTCTCGCTGTCTCTGCCTCTCTCAGTCTGTATGCAAATCTGCCTCTCACATAAATAAATAAAATCTTTAAGAAAAAAAAGGAAGAGAAAATGAGGGGTTCCTAGCGTCTTTACAAGTTCCCAGCACACAGTTGTTCCCTTGCGTTCCCCGAGGTGACCAGTGAGATCTTTTTGAATCATCATGTGTTCGTGCGTGTCGATGTGTTTGCTGTGTTTCAGTCCATTTCAGCTGCCATTCTTTCTCATGCTCAAAGCCGTTTCCAGCGGTGGGCGTCTGGCACAGTGGTTAAGGCACCACCTGGGATGCCTGCATCCCATACTCCAGGGCCTGGGTTTGGGCGCCACCCTACTTCCAGTCCTGGCTTCCCGCTAATGTGCCTGGGAGACCACAGTGAGTTCCCGAGTCCCCAGCTTCTAGTCTGGAGTTGGTTCAGCCCTGGCAGAGCAGGCGTTTGGAGGTGGACCAGCAGACGGGAGGGCTCTGTGTGTGTGTGTGTGTGTGTGTGTCCCTTTCAAATAAATGAATATTTGGAAACAGTCATCCGTTTTAGCAGGAGGAGCCCTCCTGGGCCACCACCTGGAACCCGGGCCGGGTGCCCACCTCCCCCGTGAGCCTGCACGCCAGGCTCCGGTGCCCGTCGGCCCCACCCGGAACAGCCCCTCTGCAAGGAGCCCTTGCGCCCTCAGCGCTGGGCTGGCCCAGGCTGCCCCAGGGCTGGCCATTGCTCCCCACTTTCTCCCTGGCCAAGGCAGGGTTTTTTCTTCTTTTTGAAGGCAACGCATCACGGTCTCAAACTGAGATTCAGAACTCAAATTTGGCATGACAGAAGTTTCTTCATTTACTTTGTGTTTAATTGGGGTTGGCCTTTTAATAATTAACTTTTGTTTCATGATCATGTGAAATCTTCACCCTGTTGAGAAGCCAAACGCACACAACCGTCAAAAGGCCGCGAGGAGCCCGCACCCCTGCCCCGCCGGCTCCCTGCACGGCCGCCTCTCACCCAGTTACTGCGGCTTCCCGGCAGTTAACCCCACAGCTGTGCACACCCGTGATTATGCCCATGAATTAGGTCATGCAGGGGAGAGCGGAGTGCGTGTGACGCCGGGGCCGCAGCACAGCTGGGCGCGTGGTGCAGAGAGGAAGTGCGTGTGGCTCACAGTTTTAGAGGCTGGCATCCAGTGTGGCACTGGGGCTGGTGGCGGCTTCTGGCTGGCAGAGCCCAACGCGGCCCCCAGTGTCTCACAGCAGGAGGCAGGACGGGCCCCCAGGAGTGGGTCCCTGCCTGCTTTATAGTCTCCAGGATCCAACCCCTGGGGCTCCACCTGATGACCTCATGGACTCCGAATGACCACTCACCAGCCCCACCTCTGAATGCCATGACCAGATTCAGTTTGCACATGCTCACTGCTTCCCATTGGCTCAACATGCGTGTCAGAGGGGCGGAGCCTGGGCAAGCCAGGCCCAGCTGGGGGCGTCGAGGGCTGGTTCCTCCCCAGGCAGCCCTCTCCCAGGTCTCTGTCCAGATCCGTGTGCACCCCTCACGGCCTGCTGGCAACGCTCTCGGGGGCATCCTGGCAGGGAGAGAAAGCTGGTGGGGGCTGTGCCGCCTCAGAGGCCAGCCGGCTCCCTGGGTGCTCACTCCCCGTCCGGGCGGTCAACAGTCCGTCCCGGCCCACACTGGGGCCGTGGGGGCTGCGGAGAGAAGTGGGGGGCGGGGAAATGCTGGAATGCTTTGGAGCCCCGGCGTTTTTTGGGTTTCAGTTCATGCTGAAGGGCAGAGGGGAAGCCCACAGCGCCGCCCTCTGCAGGGGACCTGAGGGGAGAGGGAGGAGCTGACCACAGGGACCCGGCTGCAGAGAGGAGGGGGCCTGGACCAGGCCAGCACCAGCCCTGGTCTCTGTTTACTCCCGGGGGCCCAGAGGAAGCCAATTTCTGTTTGAATGAGGTGAGATTCCGTTTCAGAGCTGTCTTGCGAGGTAGTCTACACCCTGCTTTGAACACAGGCACCCATCCATCCCGGGGTCAAAGCCCACACAGGCTCTCCTCCCCACTGCCCCTCCCACCAGACGCCAGGCCACCCCCGTGGGGCTGGAGTGGGCGTGAGTGCGATGTGCTGCCCCTGCCCCTGCCCCAGCTCTCGGCAGCCCTGGGCACCGAGGGGCGACCGCGGCGGCCTCTGGCCTCTCCACCGCTCACCCTCAGCGAGCGCTCCCACAGTGTGTTGGGAATTAGCTCTGTGACCGCCACAATTAGCCGAGAGAAATGCGTAGAGTTGTCGTCACGCTGACTTAGTGCCACAGTAAAGCACTGCGTGTAATAAGGCGTGCTTCTTAAGGAAAAATACCGCGATTGTGAGTGAACTCTGAAACCCACAATCCTCTTCATTTTTCTTTCTTTTTAGAATGATTTGATTATTTGAGAGGTAGAGTTACAGAGAGAGAGAGAGAGAGACCTTCCATCTGCTGGTTCACTCCCCAAAGTTCACAATAGTCAGGGCTGGGCCAGGCTGAAGCCAGGAACCTGGAGCTCTGTCCGGTCGCCCCATGGGAGCAGCCCAAGCGTTTGGTCCATAGTCCACTGCTTTCCCAGGCGCATTAGCAGGGAACTGGGTTGTAGTGGGGCAGCCAGGATTTGAACCAGCGCTTACGCGGGATGCCAGCCTCGAAGGCCGTGGCTTCACCAGGTGTGCCACAATGCCAGCCCCGCCTGGCTTACTTGTCTTAAGATAAACAGTGTTAAAGAACAGCTCAACTAAGCAGATTTTCCTAACACGCAAGAAGGAGTGCATGTGAACATGTGTGCACACGTGTGACGTCACGGCTTTTGTCCTTTTTCAGAGCAAATATCCTTTTGTAAGTAAGAAATATTAGAGTAATACATTTTTGGTTTTTATTATTATTGTTATTTTAAAGATTTATTTATTTGAAAGGCAGAGTTAGAGAGAGAGAGAGAGAGAGACAGAGAGAGAGAATGAATCTTCTGGTCCACTCCCCAAATGGCTGAAATGACCGGGGCTGGGCCACTCTGAAGCCAGGAGCCAGGAGCGTCTTCTGGGTCTGCCGTCTGGGTTCAAGGATTATTGGCCCATCTTCCACTGCTGTCCCAGGTGCATTAGCAGAGAGCTGGATTGGAAGAGGAGCAGCCGGGGCTTGAACCAGAAACACAGACGGTGGCTTTACCCACCATGCCACATTGCTGGCCCCAGGATAATACATTTTTTTGAAAAGATTGATTTACTTGAAAGTCAAAGTGACAGAGAGGGGAAGAAACAGAGAAACCTTCCATCTGCTGGTTCACTCCCCAACTGCCCGCAATAGCTGGGGCTGGGCCAGGGGGAAGCCAGGAGCTGGGAGCTCCATGTGGGTCTCCGTGTGGGTGCAGGGGCCCAAGCTCTCGGGCCGTCTCCTGCTGCCTTCCCCCGCTCATTAGCAGGGAGCTGGGCTGGAAGGGGAGGAGCCGGGACGCAGCCAGCGCCCCCGAGTGGGATGCCGGCACCCCCAAGTATAGGCCTAGCCCCCTGCTCCACACAAAATAGACTTTTAGGGTCAGACTTTGGCGGTGGCTTCTTGGCCCCAAGATAGAGCAATGGCCACCACAGACTAAAGCCCCAGGCGCTACCTTCACACGCAGGACAGCGTTCTCCGTTCTCTTCGCAAAGCTACTCTTCCCTGTGGCTCCGCTACTTCAGTGACACCTACGGGAAAAGCTGCACTGCGGGGAGCGGCGGACCGGCCTTTTCCACTTCTCCCTGCCCTGTGTTGTCACAGCCGTAGCTCGGCAGGAAGCAGTCCCACCGAGGCTGGGCGACAGGGTGAGGCCAGGGAGAGGAGAAAGGATGGGGCGGGGTGCCACAGACACTGGGGGGACGCGGCACACAAACAACGCAGACTGCAACGGGGGTCACAGTGAGAGTCCCCCCCCCATGTGGCTGAGCTGCTCAGAACTGGAGAACCTGGGTGGGCACTGTACCCCAGGAGTGCCTGGGCTGGAGGCCGCCTCTGCTTCCACGCCAGCACCCTGCTGTGTGCACCCTGGGAGGCAGCAGGTGACGGCTCAAGCGTGTGGGTCCCTGCCTCCCACAGGGGAGACCCAGGTGGAGCTCCGGGCTCCTGACTCTGGGCCTTTTGGGGGAGTGAAGTGGTGGAACACAGGATGGAAGATCTCCCCCCCTCCCCCTCCCCCTCCCCCTACCCCTCCTCCCACACCTCCTCCCTCTCCCTTCCCTCCACCTTTTAAATAAAATGAAATAAATCATGAAAAGCTTTTTTAAAAAAACCCTTGGGAATCCTAAATGGATGCAGTAGAGGTGGGGCCATGTGGTTCCCCAGTCCTCTGCAACACAAGGCCCAAAACCAAGCCCTGGGCAGGATCCCCAGGGCCCCCAGGATGCCTCCCTCCCCTCCTGGCCGAAGCGCCCGGGTTCTGTCCAGGTCCAGGGGAGAGCACGGGCAGGTGCTTGGGGTGTTTCTCACCTGTGGTGGTCTGGACGTGGGTGAACCCCAAGGGATTCTGAGCAGGAAGGGTGGTCCCCAGCGTGGCGGTATTAAGATGCGGCGGGGCCTTTAAGCAGTGGGGTCCCGTGGTAGGGTCCAGTAGGAGGGTGCTGCCCGAGGAAGGGGTGAGGGCCTCTCCTGGCATCTGGAGTTGGTTCTCACGGGGCTGCTGCCAAGGAGGGAGCCTGTCCCTGCTGTCTGACCGCGTCCCCAGGCGCTGTCTCCAGCAGGTGCTCCCAGCATGGTGTGACACCCCCCAGGCAAGCGGAGGGGGCCGGCACCCTTGGACATTCAGCCTCCAAAGCTGAGAGAGAGAGAGAGAGAGAGAGAGAGAGAGAGAAACCTCTCCTCTCGTCTGGAAGGTTAACCAGCCCTGGGATTACACCCTGGCATGGACCACGTGGGCCCGTGCCCGACCGGTGTGGCCGGGAATCGCCTCCCTCCCCGCAGTGCAGGACAGATGTGCGTGGGGAAATCCCTTGCTAATTGCGACTTTTGACGCCAGTAAGCAAGCGCCCCCCCTTGGATCCAGTAAGCAAGCGCCCCCCCTTGGATCCAGTAAGCAAGCGCCCCCCCTTGGATCCAGTAAGCAAGCCCCCCCTTGGATCCAGTAAGCAAGCCCCCCCTTGGATCCAGTAAGCAAGCGCCCCCCCTTGGATCCAGTAAGCAAGCGCCCCCCCTTGGATCCAGTAAGCAAGCGCCCCCCTTGGATCTCGTGGGCCATCACTCAGGCTCCCAGAGCCCATTTTCCCGCGAGCGCAGACCGGGAGCGATGTGGTGCATGAAGACTGAGATTTGGCACACTCAGCCGCTCCGCAAGGAGGGTGCTTGGTGATCAGTCTGCACCTGATGCAGTGCCCGCCCACAGCTGTCACTCACTGCCGCGCCGGCTTCGCCTGTGTTTCCTGGCACTCTGTCCGGCGAGCTGCCCCCGTGCCACATGGCCAGTCTGCCCCTGCTGCTTCCTTCTGGTTTCTCACTCAGTTTTTTCAAGGCTCTTTGACCCTCTCCGGTGACGGTGGAGCTCATCACTCCTGCTGCCGCTCCCTAGGCAGGCCCACGCTTGCCACGTGACCCCGACGCTCCGGCCGGCCACAAGAAGGGTGCATTTGCAGCTCTGTGACACGAGCCTCAGCCATTGCATTTGTTTTAGCTGAAAGAACAGCGCGGCAGCTCAGCCATCAGAAGGGAAGCGCTTAGGGCCTCGGCGCGGTTCCACAGTGGCCGTCCCGCTGGGTGACGGGGCCCCTCGTGGGCAGTTCCTTCCGTGGGGCTCCAGAGTGGGAAGAGCGTGGCCTACGTTGCACCTGTGGCACGGGCAGCAGGGATCCGAGCGCTCCGCGGACTTTGTCGTAGAAGCCACGAGAGCAGGGCTCTGGCGTCACCTGGCAGGGGTGGACGTGGGCAGGGGAGACCACGAGGCTTTAAAACCAAGGGGCGGGGTTCGAGTGTTGAGACTACTCGGATCTCTGAAGTCCAAACGCTGCTTCAAGGACGTCTGCCTGGTAGGAAGTTAGAGCTCAGCCCGGGTGAGCGGGGCCTGAGGAAGAAAGCTGCTGCAGGAGCTGCCCTGGGAGCGGCCCAGGACTCACTCTGCCAAGTCCCGCCCAGACCCGGCACCTGCCAGGTGGTCTCAGCCCTCCCCCCTCCCCCCCCCCAGCCGAGGAGAGCTCCCCAGACTCCTCCCTGCCCAGCACTGCACGGTTCCTCGGCCTGACAGCACAGAGCCATCGGACCATCACAGCTCCGCCCAGCAGGCCCCGGGAGGCTCCTCTGCCCAGCCCGGCGGGCTCCCCAGCCTGGCGGCAGTGAGCAGTGCACCCTGGGGAGGACTGCACCCGATCCCCAGCCTGGGGGCAGTGAGCAGTGCACCCTGGGGAGGACTGCACCCGATCCCCAGCCTGGCGGCAGTGAGCAGTGCACCCTGGGGAGGACTGCACCCGAGCCACCACGCTCAGCAAACCCTGTGTCCTGGGGCGGGGGGGACCGCGGGGAGAGCTGGACCCTTCCCTGAGAAGCCGCGGCGTGAACACAGACTGCGCACTCGGCCCTCCGCTCTGCTGGGCCGCCCGCCGGGCCCGCCAGGTGCATCTCTCCGCATAACCACGGCCCTTGCTCTCCCAGTCTGAGGGACGGGCGCCGCTGGGAGTCTGTCCCATCCCTTCTGACGGATGCCCTAACCCACTCAACCTTGCTGCCTTGCTGCCCACCGTTCCCGTCTGCCGTCTGAATTCTTTCTTTCTGGGGCCTGTAAAAATCGGCCGTCGTCCACAGCCCCTCTCCAGCCTCCTCTTTCCTGTCACTGAGCGCCCACTGTGCCCTGGGCTCTGACCAGGGGCTTGACGGAGGCGTAGTAATGGACAAGAAGGATGACAGACATCTCAGGTGCACACCTAGGTATGAGGAGGCTGAAAGCTTTTATGATTGGAGGTCACTCTCCCCCCCTCTCTTTTTTTGTAAGATTTACTCATTTATTTGAAAGGCAGAATTAGAGAGAGAGAGAGAGAGCGCGCGCGCGCGAGAGAGATCTTTCACCCATTGGTTCACTCCCCAAAGGCCCCCAATGGCTGGGGCTGGGCCAGGCTGAAGCCAGGAGCCAGGCGCTCCATCCGGGTCTCCCACGTGGGTGCAGGGCCCAAGCTCTTGGGCCGTCTTCTGCTGCTTTCCCAGGCCATTAGCAGGGAGCTGGATCGGACGTGGAGCAGCAGGGACTTGAACTGGCGCCCATATGGGATGTGGGCATCATGGGCGTTGGCTTAACCGCGAGGCCACCATTGCTCTTTCAGAAGAGGATGTGGGGCAGGAGTCCAGCCGAGCAGTTGAGACACTGCTGAGACAGGTGCACCCCAAACCAGAGAGCCGGGGCCGGCGCCCGCCTCTGGCTCCTGCCGCTGTCCCTGCTAACCCAGACCTTGGGAGGCCGGGACGCGGCTCCGGCACCGGTGAAGGGGACACTTGACTTGCCTTCCTGGCTCCCGGCTCAGCCTCCGGCTCAGGCCTGGCCCTGGAGAGCATCTGAAGGGCGTGCATGGGAGATCCCTCCCCGCGTCTGTGCGCGCTTCTCTGCCTTTCGAATTGTGGGGAGCAACTCGGACTAGACTGTTACTGGAATTAAGACTTATTCTATGCATCTGCTCTCCCACAATATGGCGCTGAGAAGGGAGAAACAGCTTCTACACAGCTGCCTCTCGCCAACTTGAGTGATGACCTCCAGGAGCTGATCCTGCTCCTGATTGGAGGAGAGCAGTGTACTCGGCGTGTGGGTAGCAGAGTTGGGATTGGTGGAAGAGGACTATAAAGGAGGAGAGAGACAACATGCACCAGGAACATCTATCTGAAGGAACACCTGAGCAGCCCCCGAGAGAGCCGGCCGTCGGTGTGCCGCTCCCCCGCGGAAGTGGGGAAAGTGGCAGGGGGAACCTCCCTTCCACGGAGGTGGGAGGGACGGTAGCCAACCCGGGAAGAACCAGCAGCAAACCTGGGGAGGGCCGAGCAGACAAAAGAACAACGCAGGGTCCTGTGTCGTTCCTCCACGAAGAGGGGGAGCGACATAATGGTGCCGTGACTCGGATAGGAAGCCTAGGCAGGGTTTAGTGTCATTCCTCCACGAAGAGGGGGAGCGACACGAATAAATGATTTTTAAAAAGGGTTGGAAAACAATGCACACAAAACGAATATGAAGTCAGGAGGGAACAGGAAATACAGTCGCAGACCCAGTTTCAAGTTGAAGGTGTGGGGAGGGTCCACACGGGTGAGGGCCTGGCTGCCGCCGCCTCAGGTGCTTCGTGGTCACCGCCCTTGCTGGGGGGAGCGTGCGGGAGGTGGGATGAGGCTAGGCTGGACGTGACAGAGCCGTGTGAAGCAGGGCACGCGGGAGGAAGTCTCGGGCGGGAGGGGCTGGTCCTTCAGTCCTGCGGCCCCAACGCTGCCCGTGGTCCCAGCCCTGTGGTGCCGGCCCCGGCAGAGGGCCCTGTCGCGGTCCCCTACGAGAACCCCCTTCCCCACGTGGCTTACACCAGACTCCCTGGCGTCCCCAGCCCTGTTTATCCAGGACACAGCCAGACACGGGCCCCTGGCTTCCCAGGCCTCTGCCAGGAGGAGCTGAGCCCTCAGAGCAAGGGCTTGGTCCAGTTTCTCTTTGCCCTGCGGAGCACCGCTGGCCTGGAGGCAAGACTCCTCTGGCCACTCCGAAGCCGTCCATGCTGGGGGAGAGCTATGGCCCTCCCCAGGCAGTCTGGAGGGAGACACACACAAATGGAGCACCTTGGACTACCTGCCGCACTGCACACAATGCCAGGCGTGCAGTGCCCAGGCCGCTGTCATCAGTCACCGGGCAGGACAGAGCGAAGAGGCACAGGTCCACTAGAAATGCACGTGGCAGTGGTCACTAACCAGGTGTGGGCGTGGCAGCCCAGGCCAGCCCCTCTGAGGGCCTGAGAAGGCCAGGGTCTGGCCCAGTCCACCTCCCCACGCAGGCCCCGAGGACGTCCCCTGTTCTGTCCCCAGGGGCTCCTGGCTGATTCCACGGCAATGCTTCCCAGCTCCAGGCACCTGGGGCAGGCACGGGAGGCTGCAGAGCTGGGGGAGGCGCTCTGGTGGCATGGCCAGCTCCCTGGGGCCCACCAGATCCCACCTGGCCCTGGGCTGTGCTGCTGCCCCAGGCTGTGAGGACCCAGGACCAAGCAGGTGTGGGGTGGGTGGGTGAGGACAGCTGTCACTCAGGCTGGAGAGCCGCGAGCCTGGGGCTGCAGGATATCTCTGGCGGGGCGGGGAGGTGCAGGGGCTGTGGTCAGCGCCTGACCCAGCAGGCACCGGGCTGGCCCAGCTCAGGAGGTGTGTGTCTGTGTGGGGGTGCCAGGTGAGGGCGTGTGTGCAGCGGTGAGTGTGCGGTGCCGTGTCTGCGGGGCAGTGGAGAGGACGCGTGGGGGGTAGCATGTCCAGGAGGGTGGATGGGAGCTTGTGTGCCGGGAGGGAGCGGGGGAGTTTATCTAGGCCGCCAGGCCAGGACTGCGGGGGCGGGGACGCGTCCGCGGTGGGTGGGGCAGAGGCGGGGTCAGGGGCGTGTCCGCGGGGCCGGAGGCCCTTCAGGGGTGTGTCCGACGGGCAGGGCGGGGCTGCCCGAGGGGCAGGAGGCGGGGTCAGGGGAGTGTCCGGCGGGTGGGGCAGGTAGTGCCCGAGGGACCGGGTCCTGCGGCCCTCGCGTCCCGGGCGTGCGCGGACGAGGAGAGCGGACGAGGAGGGCGGACGGCCGGCGGGCGGCGCTGGGCGTCTCGGGGAAGGCGGTGGACCGCGCGGGGCGCCGGAGGCGAGGCCAGG